CTCAGCCCACCAGGGGGCGGGGCTGGCTGGCATGTGGTGCTGGGGGATTGAACCGCGGTCCCTGTGCTTTGCTGAGCTTGTTCTAAGTAGGTGCTTTAGACCACTGAGCCATCTCACCAGCCCAAGGTTGTAGATTCTTTGTCAGTGTCAGTCATGTGGCTGAACTCTAGACTTACTCAGATTTCACATTTTCCCCACTGTGTCCTTTCTCTGATCCAGCATCCAATTTGGAGCCCTATACTACATTTTATTGTCATGTCTTCTGTGATAGTTCATCTCAACATGTTCGAAGAATACAAGTCAATACAGACTATTCCTCAAATGTGATTTATTTGATATGTTCTCAATATGACATTACCATGTCAAAAAGAAAAGCAAGTCACAGACATTTTTTTCAATAACTACACGAGCACAATATGCCTATCCCAGAGGTACTCAGGATGTTACATCTTATTACTAGGGTTGTTTAAATAAATGTTAAACAAGTGTCTCTTCCATAACTTGTTTTTCTTTTGTAAGAAATCAGTATCTCACAACACCAATATTCCATTCTTTTCCACTAATTTAAATTTCTTCTGTGGACTGTGCCTGCAAAACATATTACTGAAGTGTTATAACAACGGTTTTCTATTTCATTCAGTCCTTCTTCATTGATTAACTTCTACCATAAATTAGAATGTGTCATGGTTTTAAAGAAATAAAGGAATAAAATATAATACATTATTTACCTGAGTTTCTTGTCGTTTTTTAATAGCATGTTTATATAACTTATGCAATTTTCTTGCATCAAACTCAGTAAATTTAGACACAAAAATCCACAGGTTTCTAGGGGAAAAAAAAGGCAAATTAGCATAGTGGAAAATTTTCCCCTCAAACACACATACACACCAAAAACTGAATTTAAAGAGATTAATTTTCATATTTACTTTAATAAATGCATATATGCACAAATTCATCTATGGATAAACTCTAATCAGTCCAAACCACTTCATTTTATAATTTTACAATGAAAAGTAATAATCTTAAACTGAAATATACCAAAGATGTCTGAACTAACACAGCGGAATAGACTGAAGAGACTCATAATCCAAAATGCAGTATATGGCATCATATGGTATGTTAATGATTTTGAGTAGAAAGAGCATAAGATGACATGAATTAAACTAGAATTATTTATTTATTTATTTTTTAAGAGATACAGGGTGGTATGGATGAAACTAGCATAGCCTGTTCTTAACCAGGCATAGTGGCTCATGCCTATAATCTCCACACTCTGGGAGGTTAAGGCAGGATTCCAAATTCAAGTCTACCTTGGGCTCCTTATCCAGACCCTGTCTCAAAAATTAAAAAGAACTGGGGATATATAGCTCAGTGAAAAGGCCTGAGTTCAATCCTTAGTACTGCAAAAGGGTCTTTATGCATGAAAAAGCAACTGCCATTTTAATAGTAGTCACATGACTGCCATGACCAGACATCTAATGCCAACACAGGGCAGTGTCTCTAGATTGCTCTTTCCATCAAATGCAGGCATCATTAGTTAGAAATTGTGATTATTTCATAATGTACAGATATGTCAAATCAAATTATAAGCCTTAATGATATGCATTTTTAAACTGTCAAAGACAACTCAAAAACAAAAAACAAATACCCTGCCAAGTCTGTTATCATCAGAAGATACAAATACACATAGAAGGTATAGTTACTCTGAAATATAAAAGTAAACTTGGGTGATAAAGCTAAATGATACCTGACTGAACTGGAATCCACTGAGAATATTTATCTGGCTTTTTAAATAATTTATAGCCGGGGAGATGGCTCAGTGGAATAAACGCTTCCCTAGCAAACACAAGGTTCTGAGTTTAATCCCCGGTTCCGCCAAAAACAAAACAAAACAAAACAAAACAAAACAAAAAAACAAAAAAACCACTCTGCAACGTTTGGGCCGGGGAGATGGCTCAGTGGAATAAGCACTTCCCTGGCAAGCGCAAGGGCCTGCGCTCAATCCCTGGTTCCGCCAAAAAAAAAAAAAAAAATTTAGAAGCTATCTGTAACATATCTTCATTCTACAGTTAACTTTCAAAGGAAGAAAAGCTGCCTTTCTGTTCATAACTGACTCTTGTTAAAAATACATTTTTTTCTTTGTTTTTGTTTTTATTTGAGATAGGATTTTTGGTGTGTAGTTGGCTGGCCTTAAACTCACCAAGTAGCATAGGCTGGCCTCAAACTTACGGCAATCCTCCTGCCTCAGTGTCCCAAGTGTTGGGATTCCAGGTATGTGCCACCATACCTGGCTAAAAGTACATTTTGTCCTAAAAAAAACCTAGTTAGTAATTAGATTCTAGTCCTTATTCCATCCCTTGCACAATATCTCAACCTGGGCAAGGCACCAGAGTCGAACTAGTTAATGTCTTTACCAAGAATGAGAACTTCTACAAAAAGTTCAGGTCTCAGATCTACTTCTGCTATACCAACTCCACCCTAGAAAGCTTTCCACCGTAGTTCTTTTTCTCTTTTTACAATGGAAGTAATAATAACTTCTAAGAGCAATGGTATTAGATTGTGGAATATAAAATTACTTTGATAGAAAGTAAAATACAAATTTTCTGTTATTTTAGCCATCTTTCACTTAATTATGGTGACTGTTAAAAATCAGTATTCCATTCAGTCATTTTAAAAGACTTGGTTAAATAAAGATTGAAAGTACTATTTATAAGTAACAAGACAGATAACTATAGTTATTGTAAAAACAATGTCAACTCTTCTATACGTTTATATGTCAAGTGTTTATATGCTAACTATGATTGAAGTCTTTATCTTGTCTCATTCTGTAGAATTAATACTTACTCTTCAGGGACTCAGATTAGCTAGTCAAGGTCTGGTCATTTTAAGTTCCACAGCCAACAGAGTACATTACTTGGCTGCTACTTACTTAGTAGCCATCTTGGTTATCATACTACTGCCTAGGGAATGCAGCGCTTGGGTTCAAGTAATCCTTAGTCTAATGTCCCCTGAAGCACATTAATAGTTATAGTTATGCTGGATGGCAATACAGAATTGTCAAAAAACAAAAAGTTGTAAAATGCTCCCTTTCCATGAAAATAGAAACTCTCTACTTAGTAAGGAAACAAAGAAAAATTGTATGCTAAAGTTTCTAAAATCTAGAGTAAAAATGAGCCTTCTGTCTGTGAAATGGTGAAGGAAAAAAAAAAAGGACAGTTTTCTGTAGCATGACAAACTGCAGAAGTTACAGCTGTGGAGTGTGGTAAATGATAGGTCAATTTACACTTGTGCACCACAGCCTAGCGGTCATAATCAACACTCTCGCTTCCTAGACTAAATGGGTGCTGGATGAATTTAAGGAAAAAAGAGAAGCATAGGATTTTTCAATTAATTCTAACCATTTTCACTGTCAGAAATATACTTCTTTTGATGTGTACCTACACTGTACACAGCTAGTCAGCAGACTGATGAACCAACATCAGGGACTGCTATGTGACCATTTCAATACTTTCCTCATCTGTCTAGTAGTTTTACTCGGCACTAATCCAGATCTAATAATTAAGCCTGGTTTGATTTGCATAATATAGCAGCTATAATACTGTGTTATTGCTGATTCTTTTTTTTTTTTTTTTTGGGTGGAACCAGGGATTGAACTCAGGCTCTTGTGCTTGCCAGGCAGGTGCTTATTTTACTGAGGTATCTTCCTGGCCCCTGCTGTTTCTAAAGTAAAAAGGAAAATAGGTTTGCTTATTGTACCCCTTGAAAGATGTTAATCTTCATAACTTTATATATGTATCTAGTCAGAAGATAAATTGCTAAACTTAAGCAACAATGTACTTTCTGGGAACAGCAAGTTCTAAAGAAATTACTAAGAATAATTTGGTAAATTACAAGGACATTTAAAAATCAAATGCAATCTATTTTAATGAAATAGCTCCCACTATTTCTCAGGACAGAGGTGACAACTGTGGCTTATGATCATAATTCTCATTAAAAAAGACTTCTAAAGAAATGAAAATACTACTACTCAGGTTACTTCTTAAACATGTTGTCACCTAAGCTTCAGAATTAGAAACACAAATTGAGAGAAACACGTACATACAAAAATTATATATGTATAAAATTTAATTAAATATAATTAATTACAATTACATATTTGACAATTCCTGAAAGCTTGTTACTTACTTTCTCCACTGCTTAATTTGTTCAGGATTTGTATACTCTTTCAGACATTCTGTGATATGGTCTCCAATTTTTATTAAACACTGTCTAGTATGTTCCAGCTGCTCTCTTTCTGAAAGGCCTTTCTCAGGCCTATCAAGTTGTTTCAGAGCTGCTTTCACAGGCCTCATTCTCTCTTTACACTTCAAAATATGAACATAACATAAATACATATATTAAAAATCTGAAGCAACAAGATCTATCTATTGCAGTAATAGTTACATGAGTATATACAACACTGGTGACATTAAACCTCATAAACCCCATCCCAGAGCTATTATGTATCAATATTTTCCCCTTTGCATATTCTTCAAGAAGGTAAGGCTTTGAAGTTAGGATTTCTTAGCTGCTACAAAAATGGTTACTTCTTATACTATAGAGAATCACTGGTAATAGGGAAAGAATGAACCTAAAGAATTCAAACTGATCTACATCCCCAGACTCTCTCCTCAAATATTTTATTATAGTACAGAGTTTCAACACTTTGCATTGGGGGGATTGAAACTGCGATGCTTCTGTCTTGGCCTCTCTGAGTGCTAAGATTATAGGAATGCACTACCACAGTCAGCCTACTAATAAAATTCCAGATTATATCCTATATACACTAAAATATATAATAAAGTATTAATTAAAAGGATTTTATAAAGAAAAAAATTAAGGCAAAATCTACATAATAATATATACTAGCAATCATAATATTAAAACAAATGTAGGTAGATGCATAAGCCCTATATAAGGACAAAGCAAGGTAGCAAATGATGACTTTTGGTGCTCTTATAGTTTGGATATCCAGAGGAAGGGGAGTCGATAGAGAGCAACCCTTTCCTTGATAAATACTTTGCACACTAACAAAAACAATTAACTGTGTGACTCAGTTTTACTACTGTAATAAAAACAAAATCATACCCAATCAGAATTAAAATATTACTAAAAAGACAGCTTTATAGATAAAATTTATGAATATAAATGTAGAAGCAGGGGCTAGGGAGATAGCTCAGTAGATTAAGTGCTTGCCTAGCAAGCACAAGGGCCCAAGTTCAATCCCAGGTTCTGCCAAAAAAGAAAAAAAAGTACAAACAAATTTAAATTTAATAAAAACCATGAGAAGCTGATTTAGTTCAAGGAATGTAAAAATGAAATAGGTCAACATTAAACAATGTATTTATTGAGTTGGTAGTTTGTTCAAACCCATTTATTTAAAAAAGAAATCCTGGCATGCATTTGGCTGTGTTTTAGTGTTTTATTGGCCTACTTAACCAAATGAAGTTGAAAAGTTTCCATTCTTTATAAAGAATAGTTTTAAAGCCATCAGAATTACGTATACTTCAGAGGTAAAACTAGCTTTTTCTGACAGACCTGATGCCATATATAAAAAAAAAAAGAGAAAATCTTTAGTTTCTTTTGTTTTTTTAAATTCCTAGCTGCTCTCCTTGTTTTTGATAGAGGGTCTCACTGTGTAGTTCAGGTTGGCCTTGAACTTGTGGTGATCCTCCTGCCTCAGGCTCCTGAGTAGTAGGATTACAGGCATGCACCATCATGCCCTGCTTCCAAATTTTCTCTTAATTTAGGTAGTTTATATTTTCCTAGAAAGTAATTTCTTCAGTGTATGTCAGCTGAATATATACCATGTTCTTGGCATTGTTCCAATCCCAGAAAATAGTGCACTAAGCAGTGACTACACGAAACCTAGATCCTTGTTATAAGAAAGCTAATAAACAAGAGATAGATGGTGACAATGGTGATCAAGGAAAATAAAGAGGTGGAAGCTTCTTATTTACACTTAAGGAACGAGCAATGTTTAAGAAGATACCTGAAGAAATGAAGGAATCGGCCCCTCAAAGCAGAGAGGAGAGCAAGAACAAATGTCCTAAACTTTTTCTGACATGTGTAAAGAACAATATGAATGCTTATATAACTAGAACCAAGTGAGATAGAAATTAGGCAAGAAATAACTGGAACTCACCAGACAATGTATGTCTTGTAGGCTTTTGTATGAAATCATTTATTCTAAGAGACGGATTCAGCTGAGGTCTAAATACAGAGATAACTTAGTGTGACTGTCTTCTTCCTATAGTGGTCCTAATAGCTGAGGTTGTTAATGTATGAAGACACAGGAAGGATGAAAGCAGTAAGAGCAGCTATGATGTTACTGAAATAATTCTGGAAAGGGATAGCTGGTAGTTAAAACAGTGTGATTGGGAGGGCCAGAAATTTGCTCACTGATTCATATATGTGGGGAAAGAAGAAATGATAACAGAAATCTATGCTAAGGGTAAGGTAAGGCCTCAAGATTGGAATTAGAGAAACACTGAAGCTTACAAAGTACTTATTACTTTTGCTTTAAATGTAATTCATCTTATCCTGATAACAATTTTGACCTATTTTACAAAGAAGAAATTGATGCACAGAAACAAATGACATCTGTCAAGCCCAAGTCCAACTGACCTCAAATCCTGTGCTCTTTAACTACTGACTTACATCTTAATTATAAAAACTCATCAGTAAATGATAAGGTAAATTAACAGTTGCCAAATGAGGCAAAGATAGTAAGGAGAATAAATGGTGAAAAAAAAGCTACTTAATGTCTTTTGAGGAGTTACTCTGCAATAGAGTGAAATTCAGCATAAGCACCCAGAAGAGTCTGGGTCTAGGGTCTCTCTTTATTCTAAAGAAAAATCACTTATAAAAATTAGTGGAAAAAAAATTAGTGAAAAAATTCACACATAGGACACAGCAGAAAGCTTTCCATTTCAATGGTTACATTAAAATCAGAAAGCAAAAGTGGAGATATAGACAAGGAAGCTAGATGTACAACCTCACTCAGTAATGGAGCATAAAGAAGAGAGAAAACTGAGGGCCGGCCAGATAGCTCAGCAGACTAAAGTGCCTGGTTAGGCACAGCGTAGCCTCCGGGGTTCAATTCCCTGCCTGCCATGACAGACCCACCTCAGGGGTGCACTGAGAGGATAACTGAAACTAAGCATGGTGCCACGCACCTGTAATCCCAGTGCTTGGGAGGCTGAAAACAGGAAAATCACTGAGTCTGATCTATACAGTGAAACCCTGTACTAAATACATCCCCAAAAAATAAAAAAAGAATAAAAAAACCTGTTCAAGTGAAAAGGTTAATGTTTTAAGGACAGCCAGATAGCTCAGTGGACTAAAGCGCCTGCTTAGGAAGGCACAAAGACTGGGTTTGCTTCCCTGTGTGGTGTGCTGTTGCAGCCCTGCCCTCAGGGTGCAGAGATAAGCAATTGCACGCCAGTAATCCCAGCGTTTGCGAGACTGAAAACAGGAGGAGCACTGCAAGTCCGAAATGTGTAGGGAAACCCTGTAGATCCTGCACTAAATAATTTTTAAAAAAAGATTAATGTTATTACCTCAAAAAAAGACCAATATATTATCATCACCCTTTTATTCCCACCCAACACAGTCAATTATTAAAAAAAAAAAAAAAAAAGAAAATCACGGAAAATTAATGTGAGGGCTAGATTAAAATCTAGGCATCAAATAGAAAGGTTACAGAATCAGTGTCAGAAGCTGAAGCTGAGAAGAGATTAAAAGTAAAGTCCAAAGACAACACTTGTGCTACAAGTACATGAAATGGAAGATAGGACACAGTGACAGTGCAGTCATCACTTTGTATGTGCTCTAAATTCTCAATGACTGGAACGATGTCAACAGTCACAATAAGAACAAGAAAACTGCTATGGACTACTATATTTAGAAGTGTGACAAAATACTAGAAGGTTGTTTAAGGTGTGTTGTAGAATCAGAACAAAAAATATTATATCAGCATGTTCTATCTAGTAAAGGTGCAAAAAAGATGATAAAATGAAACAAGAAGCTGGAGATCTAGAATAACATACATAGGGGGTCAAATGTAAGTGCAGTTTTAGAAGGAAAATTTCCACCTTTCAAATATAGCATCAGATTAATAACAAGAAAGTGATTTAAGATTTTAATAAAGTCTAACACATAACTAAAGCTAATTATTCAAACTAGTGTAAAATATTGATTAGAACAGATAAGCAAGCAAGCTATACAGAAATACACTACATTATTTATATGGCAGACTAAATGTTTCCTTTATTTGTTGTCAGAAATATTTTTCCCAGTCCTGGTTTAAACTCTGAAAATTAGTTACCTGTCTCATCACTCAGTCTTTTTTTCTATTATTCCTTCCTGGTTTTGTTCTTTGACTGGACTTTTCATCAATGTGTACCATGTCTGAGCAATCTTACCACAATCACTACTAATTTTTGAGCTTCCTAAGCTTTTATGAGAGTACCAGACTGGAAACTTTACTAATACAAATTCATTCAGTCTTACTTTTCAAACAGCTGCAATAATTCCAGAGCCAGTAGTATCAACCACATGCACACTGCTTTCCCACAATGCAACTTTACCATAACCTTTCCTCAGAATTTTTCTAACAAATAATTTCATAGTTGAGGCCATTTATGAGTTCTTGAACACAGTCATTAAACCAACCCTTTGGAGAAAGACAAAGGTAAGTTTCTCCCTCACACTGAGGCACAAAGAAGTACCACAGTGTGTAGAACCAGTATATTTTAGACAAGTGTTATCTAGGCTGAGCTGGGACAGGTTCCCAGCTCACAGTCATACAGGTACAGAGAATGAAGGTGCTTACAATTTACAGTGCAACTTCATATCTAGAATCCAGTAATAAGGCATATTTTATATCATTTTGTTATAAAATGTTATATTTTATATCATTTTTCATATTTAGTTTTCTACTTTATAAGACAAACATTTCCATTGTTTTTTATTGTGCACTATAAAAATCTTAGTCTATAAAATGGGGAAAAAGTCATTTTTAATTGTAGATAAGCAGCAATAAGAACTGAAAAATTTACAGCCCCTAAAGAAAGTACCCTTTAAGCATTAAGCTCTTTTCCTTCAATCTTTATTAAGAAACCTTTCCAAACTGATTCTAAATTTAACACATCTTTCACAATTTAAATCTACTGGTTTCATCAATCTAAACTACAGTACCATAAAATTCAAATACTGTGTATTTCCATGTTTATAACTCCAAAAAATAAAATTGCAACTTAAAATGTTGTACCAATTATTAACAGTCAGAACATCTACTGCTTACAATGCTGAATGTCTTCTGATCCAGCTCTTCAGACTCTTCAGATATGGGAACTGGCTCACCACTTGCAGTTATGTGAACTGGAGTATCTAATATTGAAGATTTTTTTGATCTTTCTTTACTTTCAGACTTAGATTCACTCAACTAAAACAACAGAAAAATAAAACAAAATAAAAACCCAACAACAAATGCAAAATGGTTAGTACTTTCAGAAAACTACTGCCGCACTTTATTGTAGATGTGCTTATTCTCAATAAATATTTTTTATTTATTCTGTTTTCTTCCCTAGCTTTATCTGGAGAAATCAAAAATAAAGCTACTCTTTAATACTATTTCCCCAATATGACCATTTTAAAGTGCTGAAGCCTATTTTTTTCCTTTACTACATACATAAATACATTTTTTCAGAACTCAGTTATGTCCTAAGAAATGTCTCCTAAAATGTAAATAAACTGTTTACTTTTACTAAATTTTATATAACAGGGCTGGGGAGATGACCCAGTGGAATAAGCGCTTCCCTGGCAAGTGCAAGGGTCTGAGTTTGATCCCTGGTTCTGCCAAAAGAAAAAAATAAATAAAATTAAGTGAACTAAATTTTATATAACAATTGTCATACTCTTTTTTCTTTTGTCTTTTTCTTTTTGTATAGCTTTTTATTTTGCTTTCTCTTTTTTCTTTAAAACATTTTTTCTTGGGCTGGAGAGATGGCTCAGTGGTCTAAAGCACCTACTTGGAACAAGCTTGGCAAAGCATCAGGGACCGCGGTTCGATCCCCCAGCACCACATGCCAGCCAGCCCCGCCCCCTGGTGGACTGAGCTGGCCACACACACACACCACTCTCTCTCTCTCT